CTTTGAATATTTCTGAAATTTTTTAAAATAAAAAATATTCAAAGTTTTTTATTATTAAAATTAATAAAATTATTTTTACTTTACAAATTTTCAAATATTTTGAAAAATTTTCAGAGTTTTTTTCGAAAATTTCTGAAAATTTTTAACAGGTAGAGATCTCTAGAGTTCTTCACCAAAAAATTTTCCTGATATACTTGTTACAAAAATAAGTTTATTACTTAATTAATAAGGTTACAAGAAAAAATAAGATATAAGTTGAATAGATTTTAGAGTATAATATTATATAATTTGTATTACATTCATGCTGTGACTTTACAGTAATAAACTTGGCTTTGTTTAACTCATAAAAAAAAAAAGTGTATTTTAACAAATCTTTAATGATTTTTTGAGAAAATTTTTAATGAAACATATAGTAAAATAGTATAAATTATATGGCAAATAATATCAAATTATATAATAGAAATTGATTAATGATTTATTTATATAATTAATATACCAAATTATTTATTTTTTGACAATATTATATAAATGACATTATGTCAAATAAATATTTTTCGATTAGTTTTAAGAGTTATCTTTACCCTTTTTTTTTGTTTATAACCCTTTTTACTCAAAAACTTCATTTCTAGTGATTAAGAAAAGTTAAGTAATACCTTTGATATCAATGACAAGAAAGTTTTAAAGAAAGAAAAATTGACTGTAAGGTATCTAAAGAGCTGTCTAATCTTTGAAATAAGAGATTTATAAAGATTTTCTATAGTAAAAAAACTTATTTTTTCCCTCATTAATTGATTTGACCCTTTTAGAGCTTTTGTTTTCATGGTTTTCTAGAAAATTTGATCTACTTCAGTTTGATCCTATATTTTGAATAACATAAATCCTTATTAAAGATGATTGGTTGACATAAAACATATTAGTTTTTGAAATATAAACAAGCTCTTATTGATTATATTCATGTATTTCAATTATGTCATTGGTAATTAGAAAGAATGTTTTGAAAATATTTTTTCTCAAAAGCCCAAATCCCTTAATGAAGACTTTAATGATACCAAAAGATCAAGTAATGGGTAATGTGAATTGTAAACTCATATCTCTTACTTAAGTTCTTCAGGTGGTGATAAAGCTTTAATAGAAAAAGGCTAAGATCTAAAGGCTTTTCTTGAGATATCTTAATTTGATGTTCACTTAAATAAAAGACTAGTTAAATTGACTTGTCTGATGTCACATGTGATAAAAAGAAGATTTCTTCCAAGGTTCAAGTTAAGCAAGAAAACTATTCTAATTAGGCAGATCCCTTTTAAGAAGAGATTGTTTTTATTTTTGAACTTTTTTGGTAAACCTTGAATTGTTCTCTTCTCCCAATCAATTTTTCCTTTCTTCTTTTTTACTTAATAATTAATTGGTTTTGGGATCAATCATTAGTGACAAATTAGTCCTGGTAGATAGAGGTCACTACCAATCTATTAGGGGAGTGTAATATTGATCTTAAAATCTGACTTAGAGTACTTATGTATGAAGATGAGTTAGTTACTTTGTGAAAGTCTGTAAACTATTGTAGATGTTATTTTAATTTCTCAATAAAGACAAGCCATCATGGCATGATATGATTGTGGGTTAAAAAAAAAAATAAAATAAAATAAAATCCCAAAAAAAAATTTTTTAATGAAACTTAAATAACTAAACCCGGTGTTTATCCCGGGTGTACTCGCTAGTACATTCATGGATTTTTAAATTAAAGAGTATTGATTATATATACAGTAAAAATTTTACCAGTTATTTTTTTTCAACGTTCCGTACAGTATATGGCACGTGCGAGAAAATATCTTTTCTATTGTTTATTCGCTTTTATTTATTTTTCTATACTGTAAATCGATAACTTTCGAACCATTTTTATATTTTAAGTGGATTTTGGAATAATTTAACTGGTAGGTATCTCTTTACTTGGAATAGATTGTTTCTTTGATATTTTTATCTTTCGGCATCTTATGTAATCGTTATTGTTAGCAAGCAAAGGTTAGACTGTTTAAAAGTAAAAATTATATTTACGCATGCATTCATAAAATATGTTAATGTTTTGCATGACCTGCAAAGGTTACGCGAATAGTATAAAGTGTTCAGGACTTGGCATGCCAAGATTCATGAGGTTATACTCACCAACCCGCATTGACTGTATTTTTTTTTTTTTTTGCAAATGGAAATAATTGCCAGAGGATATCAAGTAGGGTATAACGCGTAAATAAATATGTGAGTAATTAAATGGAAAACTGACGATTGTTTATATTGTGTTTATATTGGCAAAAAAGGGGGTCTATGAGGCAAAGGAATTTAATTGCTCTTAGCTTTGGTCAACATATCATATTTTTGTTTTTCTTGTATAACACATATTTGTGAGCGCATTATAGTATAAAATAGTTTACCATTGGAAATTTTTATTGAATCCGGTTTATCATCATAAAGGGTAACTTCTTTTTCACTCTTTTATCGAAAAGTACATGAGGTAGCCGAAAAAAATTCCCTCGAAAAGAGAAGCGACTTCCCATTCATTTGCCTTACATTTCACTCGCGTGGCACATCAACTTCTCTTTACACCCACATCACCTTCCCTTTACACACACGTCGCCTTCCCTTTACACCCACATCTCCTCACACCCACAGTCAGTATACACACTCTCACTGTTTTATTCGAATTCTACAGCAATCCAAAATCCATATCTTCCAAAAAAACTATTTTCGAAGGGTAAATAACCAATAAACATGAAGTACCCATTACTGTCACTGGCATTGGCTACCTTGAGTATGATGATATTTCAGGCGGACGCAATAGTTGATACTTCGCCACCTGTGAGGCCAGGCAGCGGTTCTTGGGCGTTCGCTCCAAAGTAAGTGTCTCGAGATTCTTCCAGAGGAAAATGGAGTCATTGTAATTTAATTTCCCTTTCAATTTCAATAATCAGTTCTGGCGTGTCGGCTATGCACATGGTACAATCCGGCCCGACAAAGATGCTGATTATCGATAAAGGTAGAGTATATTCGAACCAATTTATCTGTCACGATTTTTTATTTTTAATTATGAATCAATTATCATCTTTTAATAGCCGAAAGGAATATATACGCAATTCGCAAGAATGGCTTGTACGGATTATCCGTAGAATATGACCTTACGGCCACCACCAATCCTGCTTATCGTGTGCTAGATCTTTCCACCAATACTTTCTGTTCTGCCGGCTCTTATTTGGGGTGATTATCGTTAACTCTATTTACGTATAACTTTTTGTTGGTACTAATTCAAAATTTTAACTTTCAATCATAATCTGTCTTACAAGTAATGGTACGTTGATCGAGACCGGTGGATCTAATGCCGATGTACGCATAATTTCATGACATTTTATTATTTTACTTTATACATACTGGATATATACCGTATATTGTTTGAAATTGATTTCTCAACCACATATTGTAGCGATCGAATCGTGTTTCTTCTGGATTCCGAACGGTTCGTATATGGAATCCATGTACAAATCACAAGTGCGATTGGATAGAGCGTCCGATATATCTCATGTCTCCTCGGTGGTATAACACTATGCTCACGTGTGTATCTCTTCATTTTCTACATTTTTTTTTTCCTTCTGACCAATGATATTCACGTTCACCTTTGTTCTCTAGACTTCCCGACGGTCGAGTTTTTATCCTTGGTGGATCCACCGCGGCAACTTCAATCAGTACCAAAGCTATCCAGAATCCCACATATGAATTCTACCCAAATAAGAAAGAAACGCAGAGTCGTCCCTTTGATTTCCTTCTAAAAGCATTTCCATACAATCTTTATCCTCACGCGTGTGTCTTACCTTACGGAACACAGCTTTTTCTCTTCAGCGGTAACCACGCTGCCATCTGGGATTATGCTAGAGAAACCTATGTTAAAAATATCCCCAATATTAAGGGACCTCCAAGAACGTATCCACTCACCAGCACTAGTTTACTTTTGCCTCTTACCTATGAGAATAATTATAAGCCTGAATTCTTGGTTTGCGGTGGTGGTACAAAATTCGGGAACACCAAGGCAACTGCCGATAACACTTGCGGAAGAATAGACCTAAGTGTCAGAAACCCAACTTGGGATTATGACACTTTTGTGATTCCCAGAGTCATGGGTGATCCTGTTATACTACCGAATGGAAAAGTTTTAATTGTGAACGGTGGAGGAATCGGATATGC